TGGATCAGTAGGATTAGCAGTTAGCGATTGGAGCGACGAAGAACCGGTCATATCCGCAGATGAAGGCCCACTTTATTAGGATTGTCTCAGAGCTAGCAGATAACACAGAAACGAGCACATATATGAAAATAAGATAAAGCCAACAACAAAAATTCTTATATATACATATATTGCAAGAATGCGCGAATTTTACAGAATGTTATAGGAATTAAGCACTCCTAAATTTAAATTTATCGGAAAAAAGTAGTGAGCCAAATAACTCGAGAAATCTTTTCTATACTATAAATTTATGGCTATCAACCACCACATAATTGTTAAATCCTGAGTTACGAAGAAATGCGCTTCCTAAAAGTGATACTTAAATTATACGAAATTTGCGATATTAGTATTGAAACGTCCAATTACTTATATTAATTTGTATATGAGAAATACTTTCTTTTTAAATTGTTTCATACTTTTTATTATAAGTAAATTGAAAAATATTTCCTAAATATAGAGAATGTGTATAATACAAAATTTAGAGGAAAGGAATAATAAAGAAAATCAAGATGTTTTAATTATTAAGAGAGAAAGTAATATGGTATTCAATTTATAATAAGGAGTGCTAAATATATAGAAAAATATATGTGTGATTTAATTACGTTTGAATCAATCGTGTAGCATTATGTACTACATTTTTTTTATCTAATAATCATATTTTGTTTTGCATTGGTGCAGGCAATTTGTCTAATTATGAGGTGTGTTTGCTTGGATAATAATTTAAAATGTATCTTTCTTTTTTGTACTGAAGGCGGAAAGCCTTTTTTTATATTTTAGATCTGTGTATCTTTTTTTTTTATTACATTGCAGTTGATCGAATTATGTACACTACATTGTTGGTTTGTAACTGCGAATATAAACTCACATTGGTACTCGCGATTTCTTCCTGTTAATAATGTTAATTAATGGTATAGAAAGAATGATGTGCTACGCTCTCTTCCAAAATGCGCGAATTTTGTAGTAAATATTTTTCCTCTATGATAATTTAATGTGATCATGAAGGGCTTTACGATGATCTTAATCATTAAGGTGTGTATATATCACTATCAATCGATTTAATTGTACATTCTTTCTCTCGATTTTACCTAAGAACTATCTGATTTTTCAATTTGGTTCTAAGAAATCGAATTATCTCTGTAACATACTGACCAGATATAAATGACATTAATATAACATAAGACATATTTTATATATAAGTACTTGTTCAAAGGATTGTTCATCATATGCTTGTTCCAATATGAATTCGATGAAAATTTTATCTGAATTTTCTAGAGAATTTCTTGAAATTTATACAAGTTTGTTATGCATATCGCAAGCATTATGATAGAGTTATATTAATGCTTCCTTTATTGCATAATTCTTAGATTGATTTCATCACATGCTAACATAATATATAAATCAATTTTTTTCTGCATTGTCTTGAAATATTCGTGAAATCAGCATTAAAAATATGAAAATTTAAATTAAAGAATTTATATTTTTCATTTCAGTATAAATTTTAAATCTATAATGCGTTTTTCACTAACAATGGAATTATGCAATAATGATTGCAGAAGAATGTGATATTATGACAGGATTAGAAAATTATTGAGTTAAATATGATAGCGATATGAACTTCTTTGTTAGAAATTAATAGATAAATGTATAATAGATTTCATAATTAAGTTTCTATGATAATTTGATTTTAAAATGATTAATTCTGTAATATTTATGCAGAATTTTGTTAATAGTGTTGCAAAGATAATTATAATGTGATTAAAATATGATGTTTTCTATCATCACCTCAAAATTATTTTTATTCAATTCATTATTTATGATTGTTTAAAAATATTTAAAATAATGTCTAAGACTTCTGAGATTTATAAAGTCGATTTCTAATTATTCGATAGAAAAAAATTCTTTATATTTTATACACTAATATATCGCGTATAGGAAGTTGATATTTTTGTTCTTTTTCTTTACAATACAAATTTACATATATAATTAAAATTATCTTGCTAGCATACAAACAGTATCTCTTCACAATATCTTCATATATATCAAATATATATTTATTTAACATTTTTGTTCTTTATTTGAAATAAAACTGGGCTTCCAATGTGCACACACAAAACAAAACTATTGCATTTCCAAGGACAAATACAAAATACATGAAGCATCATACGGATGTATTGCAGATATGTTTTAATTTTGTAACTGGAAATATGAGGGTCATTAAGATAAAAAGGGACATACTTCGTCTCCGTCAGTTTCATTTTTTTCGGAAATCTCAAGCAATAAATAAATCTCAATTATTTTAGCAAAATCTCATTTCATCAAAAATGAGAGATATTATTCAGATCCTCATTTTTCTGGATCGGTTTATTAAACCGATGCATAAACTTTTTAAGCGTTTTATTTCACCAATGAATTTTTTAATTAAGTGATTATAGAGTCTTACTTTTTTTATTATTAGTAATTATTAGTATTGTATTTCAAAGCATTCTCTTATTAAGATGATCTGAATCGTTCGTCCTTGCTACGTGTCATGTATTGCCGTAATAATGTATGAGATGTATGTGTTTTGCATCTTGTTTTGTCACGCAGAAAAAAGCGCGCACATATACGCAATAAACAATGCGATATATTTTTGTATATTCAGAATTTACAGCCGTAAGCGCGTTAAGTTCCAATTCTACAGTTAATTAACTTTTATTAGAATATATGTACAATTCTTTTGCAAGAGAAATGTTATACACACGATAGTGAAATATAGCATCCGTATCTCAAATAAGAATGTGTCAGTCGATGGATGACATATGTCCATTATATATGGTAATATATAAATGTAAATTGCAGAGCAGCCATTCGTTTCTTTATTCAAAAAAGACTGTATTTTTAAGGATCTACTCTCTAAAGCTGTATATTTCTCCAATTGCATCTGTTGAAATGTATCAGTCTATTAGCTCAGAAATGCAATTCCGAAAAATTTTTGAAATGTTTGAAATTTTTGAATTTGTTGACATTTTTTTTTTTTTTTCATTTCACCTTTTCATAGCGTATGAGTATGTTACGTCCGCATTTGAAAGTTGTACAGCGATCATTTTGTAAAGACTGAGATCGAATTTTAAAAACAATTGACTTATTCCGATTCTTTTTTTTTTTAATTGTACTATTGTTCATCGTGTAGATGAAAGAGAGATAATAATAAAGTTGAAATGGAATTTGGAATTGCAATATAAAAAATAAAACATTACAAGACTGTAAAATTCTTTACGAAACTATTGTTTAATTTGCTTTAATTTATTAATCCTTATTCTAAACATCTTCATTCTTACACGATTCTTTTTGACGGATTCTTATTTTTTTCTTTACATATTTATATTTATAAATGTTAATAACAAAAAATCTTCCAAAAATTTTATATTAATTTAATTAAATAAATTTAATGAGGAAACATAAACAATCATAATACGAAAAACATTTTTTATGTTGGATTTTTATTTTCTTTATATTAATCAACAATGTTGTGACTCATTCTCACATTCCAGGGCCGCATGTGGCCACATGATGCCGCAGCACAGGAGATATTGAGTTTGCTAACAACTCTATCTTGTTTTAGTGAGTACTATGTTTTTTTTTAAATCAACACATTTAAACATTCATATGCGTGTAAACAATAAATAAAGAATTTTTTCACAGAATATTAAAAGTTTATGAATTTTACGATGTAGGTTATATTATCTTAGATCACATACATCAACTTTTATATGTTAATATAAATTATTTAGAAACAAATACTTTTATATGTTAATACAAATTATTTAGAACTGTTGAGTGATAATGCATATATGTTTGCAGATTTTATCTTATCATATATTATTGAAAATCATGGACGACTTTGTTGAAAGTATTGTAGTACAGGCCACAGATCCAAAAGTGGCATTTTTGGCTGCAACTATCTTCGGTTATTGTTTGTACAAACTCATGATGAACAGAAAAAATTCTCGAGTTTCTTCCTCGCAGGACTCAGACGAAACAGATGATGATAATGATGATATAGTAAGAAAAAGTTTATATAACTTATTTCCAAATTTTTTTGTAAAATTTCTTTATAATATATTAATTGATTCATTGATTAATTGCAAATTGGTTTGTCTTTATACAGATGTATACAGATAAGTATGATAACTACAAGTTAATTCTGGTGATTAGAACAGATTTGAGAATGGGAAAAGGAAAAGTGGCAGCTCAATGTTGCCACGCTGCTGTCGCTGCATACAAAGCTGCTAGGAAACATCCAAAGATTTTGAGAGCGTGGGAAGAATCTGGTCAAGCTAAAATCACTCTTAAGGTATTGTATTTTAATACATAATATTAATATAAAAAATACACGAATTAAAGATTGACAATGAATTTTAAGTATCACAAATTTACAATATAGGCTTCAGTTTACAATATCTATAATAATTGCTTTTTGAATTTATATATCTGATATTATTTATATATAACATGAATGTATATTAATCGAATATATTAAACATCCCTACAATATGAACAATATAAATTATGAGGTTTTAATCAAAGAATACTATCTGACGTTTAATAGGATTAATATTTATATTTAGATATACACGATAAAATAAATATCTTTTTACACACATACACATACGTGCACGCACGCACATAAAGAAGAAAAAAAACAATACGTAATTTTCAGGTGGATAATGAAGCTGCTCTTACGGAAATAGCAAAGCAAGCTAAAGCTGTGGGTCTCTTATCAAACGTTGTTCAGGATGCGGGACATACACAAATACCAGCAGGAAGTAAAACAGTATGCGGGATCGGGCCAGGCCCAGCAAAATTGATAGATCAAGTGACTGGTCATTTAAAGTTATTTTAACGAATATTGTTTATCGAATTAAAGATCGAACTTTTTGATATATATCTGATTTTATTTTTATTAGTCCCAAATTTGTCATATATATTATTTAAAATATCAATCAGTTGGCGGATTTCATTACTGTATACGCAATGAAATTATAACAAAAGTTGACATTTCAAATTTTGGTATCCACATAT